AAAGAAAGAAAGAAAGAAAGAAAGAAAGAAAGAAAGAAAGAAAGAAAAAGAAACCTGAAAAAATATGATCACACTCAGACACTTAGGAAAACCTAAGTGAGGTATAGGGTGTCTACCTTTTCATTTTGGGAAAGATCAAATGTCTAATGCTTGGTGAAGAGAATTAAATTCCATCAGATATGGTCCTCTAACAAGTCTTGACTGCACAATAGTTTGTGCTAAAAGTACACACACACACACACACAAGATTCATAGTATATTTGTATTTATGGCACCACAGACCAGAGCTATGATGTTTTAAAGATTTCTATAATAATCTCAAACTTATAAATCAACTTTGAATGTTTTCTCACATTGAAGGTTCATCTATAAAAATAACTTGCTATGAACAAATGCAGGTCTGTTAACTAAATGTTAAATAAGTAATATTAAAAAAATAATACTAGTCCAAAAGAGAATGCTGTAAGTTAATGTTCTTGGGTGATCCTTTCTCTACTCACTCAAATCCTTAGAAATAGGAGTGAGATCCCATTAGGGAGTCACAGCTATTATAGAATTACCAGTGAGAAAGCTGTCACAGCTTGGGGATTTTAAGCCTGTCCGTGATCCTGATAGTTACATTCACAAGAACAAAAAAAGATTAGGAAAAAATAGACTATGAGAGGCTGAAAATGCCAGATTTGTTCAAGCTACAGACTTGCTCAATTTATACTTTGCTAACACCTTTCTGCTTTTGCTAATAACTGTCTGGTTTTTGCCCATCCCTTAACCAATTTAAACCTCACCTCCTCTGTGAAGCCTTCCTTGAAGTTTCTAGTTGACAATCTCTCTCTCTCTCAACCCTCCCTGGAATTTATTGCCTTGAATTTAACAAATGTTTCAACAGACATTTACTAAGTACCTGCTATATGCAAATGACTGTCCTAGGCTCAGAAGAAATGGCTTTAAAATGGCATCCTTTCTTCCTTCAAGGACCTTATGGTCTACTGGGAGGTATGATTAACTTTGCATATTTATTCTTATTATTTCATGGCTCTTACCTCTCCAACTGGGAGGCAGTGTGTCTCTATGGATTGATAGTTGACTTTCAACACCAGCTAGGAATCCCTGGGGTCAAGTTCTGCCCCTAAAACATACTGGCAGTGTGACCTTCACACAAGTAACTTAAACTCCCAGTGTCTTAGGCACTTCTCTGAGACTATAAGTTGTAGAGAAACCACTAACTTGGAGAGGTAGAAGGAATCTCATTTGGAAGTTCCCTAAAGCAAGAAATATCAGGTCCAGTCCCTGTTTTCTATCTTCTCAATTTGATTCTAAGTTCATTAAGGATATGTTTTATATCCTTATATTCCTTACTTATGACATATTTATGAATTGACTAATTGAAGAGTAGAAAGAGTAGAAAAGTTGTTGGGAGAAATGAAGTCATACCATCTACTCTGCTGTTGCATCCTAAGAACTACAGTGCCTTGTCTTCTTCCCTACATCTGTAGCCTCCTATATGTGTTTTTTTTTAATCCCCCCTGTTAGAAACTCCCTAAGAGAAGGATACATCTCACTTCTGCATTTATAGCAACTCCCAGCACTTTGCACAACATCTGGCAAATTCTACATGTTTAGTAAGTGATTTTTCATGAATTCTTTCCAAAATAGAAAAGCTGCTATATAGAGCAAAATTTTCCCAGTGAAGACAGATAAGCAAGGTTTGGACCTCAAAATCTGGAAAAAGATTAATGGGTTATTTTGAACACATACACTTATCTCTTGCAAAAAGATCAGGAGGAAATGAGTAAAGTATGAAGGGGAAAAGGTAAGGGAAAAAAAAGGCTTACACTTTTAGTAGAAGAAAGAAGTAATGAATCTGGAGTATTACTAGGCAAATCCAGTTCTCCATATGTCCATAAGAGTGGAGGTAAAAATGAGAATTATAATCTCACTCTTCATTTGCTTAGAAGAAAGCATTAATGAAGGCAGTGTCTTGGGTTGATCCCAAAAGGACTACTGAGTTTCTTTCTGTTTCTTCATCACCAGATATGCCACTAACCCTGGCCAATCTTTCCAATGAACAACTGTGTGTGTCCTTGGTAATAAGAAGGACTTGGGGGAAGTGAGGAAGAATCAGCACACACCTATCTCCATTACTAGAGAAATAACTCAAAACACGTGTGGGAAAGTGGTGTCACAATCATGCCATAAGTCTGATATGTTTCACACTCTCATTCTATCTGCTTCTACACAATGCAAAAACAACTTTACAAGAATATAGCAAATCTGGCTACATGATGTTTGTTGTCTCTGTATTCATGTATGTGTGAGTACCTGACTTTTTTCTGATACTTCTTGGGAACCAGGGATATGCCTTTGATGTTACAAACTTTTAAGACGGGGCCCCTCAAAATGATATTAATAGACTATTTGATGACAAGCTGCATGAAATTTCTCAAAGTGTTCAGATGGACTCAGGGAAGAGATTTCTTTTGAGCACTGTGGTCTGCTCCACAAGGTAGCCTTGCCCAAATAAAAAAGTTGGAAGAAAGGAAGGAGAAAGAAAAGAAGAGAGTAGAAAAAGCAGGGGCTGATATGACAAGATAGTTCATGAAATCACCTGAGAGACAGAAAACATCACTAATCTTCTCTCCCCAAATTGATAAGACCTTAGACCCTCACTGTCATCATTCGGATCACTGAACAACTACTTGATGGTAGCAATTTTGGTAATGCATTGAACATAGCACGTTGCATTAAGAATCAGTTCATAAGAGGAAAAAAGCTTTAATATTCAGGCTTAAAATCTTTTCCCAGTTCTTGATCATTTCCATTCTGATTATGGTGGGTTTGCCTTCTGATATCAATTTTCTAGTAGTTATGGAGGCAAACATGTTCTTGCGGCTTATATGCTTCCCATCCTTAAAGTAAATCCATATGGATGAAATAAAAATTCCTCAACATCATCAGATAATATCTTCCCCTGTGGCCCATTCATTGCTTTTCTCCCTTTTCTTCCAATTTGGAAAATAGCTATTGCAAATAGAGTGGATTAGACTTGCCCAATGGCAAGCTTAAAATTAGATAACAGCAGAATGTCATGAAAAAGACACAAAGGTGTTGCCACCCAGACTATGTTCTAAAAATTAAGCAAAGGGAAAAATCTTTTAAAATTGGACAGAGGTCTTTTATAAATCATTATTAGCATAATTCTTCAAATATCTATATATGCATCTATGGATCTTTTAAGTATTTCACGTGAGTTATATGAATTTATTTACATGAGTTGTCATTACACAATAGTACAACTGATTTTGAAACAAACCAAGGTTTACATGTCCAATCAGTCTTGTCCCTTTCAATGAATTTGCATATTTGCTTAATGACACTGCCCCATTCAAACATTTTTAGAACTCTTTCTTTGAAATTGTCTTCAGAATATTTCTTCAAAGGTATCCAGTCTCCATCCTCTGCAGATGGATTTGATTTTAGGAAAAAAAAAAAGACCTCTATGGAGACCAATCTGGAAAGTAAGGTAGGTCAACCAGCTGAAGAATATAGGTTTCAGTTGAAACTGGTATGCATCTATAAAATAGTGAGAATATTTTTCTTGAGTGACTTAGAAATTAGCTCCAAAGGCAATTCCAAAAGAATATTTCTTTGAGGTTTTTTTTTTTATATAACAAATGGCAATATTTTTGGAATAAGTGTGTAGACTTACTAAGGTGACTACATTGCAATCAACTGCATTCATTTGAATGTATAATTTTTCTTACATTTCTTTTAAAAATCCATCTTTTTACATCCTAATCATACCACTTATTCTAGATAGTCACAGAGCTTCATCATGGGACCTGCTGTTCAAGCTTGTTTTATAGATGAAGATCTGTATGATATAGAGAAATTGTGACCAATTAAAGAAAACCTAACATATGGGAAAGGATTGGAACAAAAAGTCTCTGTCCCATTATAGTATAGGGTTTTATGTTTTACATCTAGTAAACATTCTAGATAAAGAGATTTCTTAAGACTTCTGGAATCCTGAAACAAGAAAGTAATGCTATTTCCCTCCCTAGGTTCTATATAATCTATGGAGCAAAAGAGAATCCTAAAATATCCCTTACTCTATAACCTTCCATCTCTGCCTATTGACCTCCTACCCATGCTTCAAGGCCCAATTGTAATACCAACATCACAAAGACATAGCATCATCCACCCACCTGTAAGTGATCTCTCCATTTTATGAATGACAGTACTTTGAATATATGTCTCTTATAGCTCTTGTCCCTTTTGCATTTTAGTCATTTCATTGAAATCACAGAATGATAAAATATGAATTAGGAGGGACCCTAGAGACCATCTAAGTCATTTTCCTATTTGTTGCAAGAAAGTACTCAATACCTTCACAAAATCTGTTTTCTTGTAATTTCTATTAGCTGGTCCTACTTCTGCCTTCTGAAGGCACAAAACACAAGTCTAATGAACCTCACTCATGATAGCCCTTAAAATATTTGGAAGACGAATATCTTCTCTACCCTAAGCATTCTCTTTGTTAGGCTAATGTTTTCAATCAGTTCTTGCAAAACATGATTTCAAGTGCCCTTTACTATCTTAATCATGTGTTTTTTGTTTGTTTCTTTCTTTTGTAGTGCTCCATATTCCAGGTGGGGTGTCACCAATGGAGGGAATAGTGAATAATCAACTCACTTGTTTTGAACATTTGGTATTCATTAATTTAGCCCAAATTTGAATTTGCTTTTTTAAAAAATTAAACAGCCAGGTCACCAAACAAATTTTTTTCTCCTTTTTTTTTCACTAGAAATATTTTCCAGCTATGTTTCCCTTATCTTGTACTCACTTAATTTTGTGAACCTAAGTGCAGGACTTTGCATTTATCCTTTTAAAATTTGCATTACTAGAATTACTAGAATTCCATTTTGATTAAATTTTTTGATTATTGATTATTTTAAATAATCAACTATCCTACCCAGCTTCATTGACATTACATATTTGATAAGCAAAACATCTTCATCAAATCATTAATAATTTTTTAATAGAAAAAGCATGAAACCACTATATTGCACATCAATAGCTAACTCCTTTCACAGTGACATAAATCTATTAGTCAACATTCTTATATATGGTCAGTCATTTACAAATCAACCTAGTTGCACTATCTGGTCCACATGTCTCCATCTTGCCCTCATGGATATTAACAATAATATTTTAATATTTGCTGAAACCCAAATATCTATATAATGTGTGTATGTGTATGTATACATATACATATATATGCATATGTATATATATATTATATATATGCATATATATATAATATTTCTGGTCTATCAGATTAGTAACTGTCACAATGGGGAAATGATATTTTCCTGATATGACTTATGCTTTGTGAACTCATGCTGGCTCCAAGTTTTCTCTACTTTTCTTCCTGAGTGGGGGAACATTTGAGGTGATAGATGTGAAGCTTATCAACTTTTAGATTTCAAAATCCAAATTTCTTTTTTGAATTCAAAAGCATATCTTCATTCTACTTTTCTAATCACATTAGCAGGTTCTTTCAGTACTGAAATTCATGTGGACCAGGTTATATAAAATAAAGGAACTATCGCAGGTTTCAATTTCACATTTGTCAGTTTTTATTCTATCCTTCTCAGTTTGATGATCATTCTCCTGGATAGAGAAAATAGCAACAAAATAATCATGTAGTTTAACTTTTGTTTTAGGTTCTGTTAACAGTGCCTTCGTATGCCTTTCCATCACAGTACTAGATTGAAAGGTTTCAGAATTTCTGCATCCCTTCAATTTTCATGTTTTTCCTGGAGGAAACTCATATACTTATTAATCCCTTCTCTACGTGATGGGAACTGAGAATAATACAAATTGGAAACTGCTGAATTAATCTTGGCTGTCCCTGAAAAGTGTCAGATTTGCTCAGTTAGTACCTTCTTTTTTCATACTGTAATAACTCAACAGGAAACACCAAGACACAAGCAAAATTCTTCCCTCTTCCCAACTTTGCCTTGTCCCTTCAGATCCAGCCGTTCACTGGATCAAGTAATTGTATCTAACACACAGCCTGTAGGCTGCATTGCAGTCTGCAAGATTCCCCAAGATGATTCCTGAGGAACCAGATTAAAATGTAATTGAGAAATATTTAACAAAATGGAGAAAATACAATAGAACATAGTGTTAATATGTAATAATTTCTAAATCAAAATACGACTGCATAAGGGATCCTTATATAGAATTGAATAGTCCCCTTTTCTATTTGAGTTTGACATCACTGGTTTAAATGACTTGCTCAAGATTACACAGTCAGTAAATGTCAGAACTGAGATTCACACCTAGTTCTTTTGACTGTATATGCACTGGTTTTTAAAAGTATTGCTAGTGAAGAACTTCAAACCAAAGAAAGGTAGATAGAGGAAAACCAGCTAAAAGTATTTCAACCCTTACCACTTTAGGATATAGGATGAGTCTGTCTATCTCAGTTTATTTTTGGAATCAATCGATCAAAAAGATTTTATTAGATGTCTACTAAGTGCCTGGCATTCTCCTAGGTGCTAAGGAATAGATACAAAGTATAACAACCTCTACTCTCAAAGAGCTTACATTCTAAGGATATTCACATATATTCTTTATGCTGAGCTGGACAGAGACAGAAACTTCTCTCTAATCCATGACTACTCCGTACATTTCATTATCAACCCCACGAAACTAGTGGTATTTTCAAGGCACTGTCATGCAGTTGCTGTGCCTGGAATATTGGTCTTACCCTTTTACTGAGAGTCTTCCCATCATTCCAAGTATAGGAGGAGCCGCTGGAGTATTCACTACATGTGCTAGACAAAGAGAGTTCACTACTGCTGCAGCTGTTTCGGGGACACAGCCGTCCAGAGCTAGTCATGTTCAAGGCAGGGCACTTTGGGACAGGGACTCCAGATTTTGCATTTAGCTGGCATTCCTATAAACAGGGGAAAAGAAAACAACCTGGAAATGTGGATCTATTTAGGAAAGAAAATGTAAATTGACTGTCTTAATCTATAAGCATTAATTTACTGACTGATTCCTGTGGATTTGCCAAATCCACAGGCAAAAGAAGTATAGCTATGGCATTTCCTCATTTCTTTCTTTCTTTTTTTTTTTTAGGCAATGGGGGTTAAGTGACTTGCTCAGGGTCACACAGCTAGTAAGTGTCAAGTGTTTGGTCTGAGGTCAGATTTGAACTCACGTCCTCCTGACTTCAGAGCCGGTGCTCTAACCACTGTGCCACCTAGCTGCCCCTCATTTCCTCATTTCTAATCATATCATTTGGGGAAATGTAGTGATCTTAACACATGATTGTAGCACCTCATAATATAGCAGCTTTCCATACTCTGGGTTTGACAGCATGATGTAGGTCGGAAAAATAAAGGTACAAAGTATTGACGCTGTTATTACCCAGTTCTGTGACCTTCTTGGGAAAGTCACTTCTCCTATTGGGCCCTTAGTTTGCCCCCTTCTTACCCTGGACTTAATAATCAAATCAATACTAATGTTGTTCTTGGAAAGAGAATGTCAGTTGGCTGCCCTATGAATCAACTCCTCATGTACCGCATTCCCCAATCATCTCACACACACACACACACACACACACACACACACACACACGTACATATGCATGTGTGTACATATGTATGGTTCCCCCAGCCCATTATAATGTAATTTCCTTGAGGACAGGAATTTGTTCAGTTTTGAAATTGTATTTCTAGAACCTAGTAATGTTTAACAAATAATGTTTCAAAAAGGAAGGAAAGGAAGCACTTAAGAAATGTGTGTGTGTACTTCCCCATTTCCTGATGCAATATTATATAACAAGATCACACTATTAAAATATACTTGATGTTACATTATATTACTCATGTAATCATGAACCTCACACCTTGAACTCTTTCCCTCCTTGTCTCCACCTCTTGGCTTCCCTGGCTTCTTCAAGTCTTAGCTCAAATGGCAACTTCTATAACAATTCTTTCCCTGCCCCCTTTAGTGCTACTGCCTTCTCTGTTGACTATCTCCATTTAATCCTGTATATACCTTGTTCCTACTCAGTTGTTTGCATGCTGTCTTCCTCATTGTATTGTAAGCTCCTTGAGGGAAGGGACTGTTTTTTGCATCTCCAGTTCTTAGCACAGTGCCTGGCAAATGGTAGGCACTTAATAAGTGCTTATTGTTTAGTTGACATCAAACCCCTTTTTACTCAGATGCAGAATTCTAGATTCTGATTGAGGAGTGACAGGGCTGTTTGAATTATACTGCATCTGCATTAGGCACGGGCTATGGGAAAATGTCACAGATGAAGATGTAAAAAGTCCAAGTACATCTTGACAACTGCATTATAGTCCTCTAGGGTAACAAATGAGCACCCCCATGAGCTGGACAAGGTAAATTAATTTAGTGTCCCAACTGCAATGTCCAATGAGAATCTCTCCATTACTGTTGAATTCCAGTTTCCTATCTGGGATAAAGCTTTGCCTAAGAAACTCTGATGTAGAACAATCCATCTTTGTGACACCTGTAGACAGCCAAAGCCTCTTGCTTATGCAATCTATTGACAATTTATGGGTGCATTTAGTACTTGAGCAGTTATCACCCTTCTCCAAATGCAATCCCAACTGACTGTGAATAAATGCCAACTTTGGGAAATGAAATAATGAAGACCAGAAAGTACTTTTGCTAAAATATTAAACCTTTGTATAGGTAAATATACAGGATGAGTTTAATTTGCTTTCTCACCAATGCTCGCATGCTTAATAATGTTAGATCTTCTCCGTCAGGCATATGGATTGCTACTTATATTTCTTCCTTGCTACATAACTGGTTTTTTAAATGATCTAAGATTCCAAAGAGTCTCACTAGCATATTTTTTTTTGAAATTTAGTCTCGAATTTCATTAAATGTAAAAACTCATCTCCAGATCCAGCTTTAAGCAATATTTATTGATTTTTTCAGATTTTGCTTATTGCCTGATGCAGCTTAGTTGAGAACGATGCTTTCATATGTATGTCTCAATAGAAGACAACAACCTGTGATTATACAAAACACGAGCAACTGGTACGACTGCCAGGCAGATCCACCGGCTGCTTAAATCCCGATGATGCCTCATGACAAATTTTAAGAAATATTACAGTGAGCTGCACATCTACTTATGGCTTTTTCATTTTCCCTATTTCTTGTCACCCCACGTTTTATTACTTCGCTGTTTGAGCAAAGAACACAGTGGTGGTTATTAACAGCTTCATCTGCTCTGACAACTCAGGTGCATTTGTACTGGAGAAGCTGTGGAGGAGCTGCTTTCTATCCTGCTACCAGTGTGTATATAAGAGCAACACAGCCCTAAATATGACAAATAGATCTGTAACCACTGTGCACATGTAAAGATTAGTCATTTTATTTATTTATGATTTATAGTTTGCCTTCCTCCAAGAGGATCTCAATAGGCTTAGAGATTAAAACACAGACCAAAACAAGACATTAAAGGGTAGAAGAACAGAGAAGCAGAAGGAGTAGATAATTTCAGGAGCCTAAATTAGGAATATTATCACACTTGGGCAAACAACTGGCCTCTCAATTTTGGTTCTTGGATAAAGGATACTGTGTGGCATTGTGGACAGAAAATATTTTCATATTCTGCCATAGATATGCCATTCAAAGAGATAAAGGAATATTTTTCAGATAGACCATTCCTATATCAACCCTTTCTAGGGATAGAGGGTAGATCCTTTGCTGCTGTTATTTGCAATTCTGCCTTGGAATTATCGTGTGTTCAGGTGCTTAAAAGCTTCAAGAACTGTCTGCCCCAGCCACACAGCTATCTTCTTTGTCCGTCTGATATACCTCATACTTTTCTACCTTTGTTAATGGCTGGTTCCTTTTTCTAGAAACTTCTGGTTTACTTTTCTTCTCTACCCTCATCCAAGTCCTACTTATCCTTCAATTTCTAGATCCCATTTCCTTTTTCCTATGAAGCTTTCCCTGATCATCCTACCTGAAAGTGGATTCCAACCTTCTCTTCTAGAATCACAGGTTATTAAGTGGTACTTAATAGTGTAGTCCTACAATACAATTATTTGTATTGATCATCTGGAATTTGGAATTTATAGCAGAATACTGTATTGGCAGGGTAGAATAACGGCTAGAGTTAGCTTCAGAGCCAGAAAAACCTGGATTCCAGTTCTGCTGGCTGTCTGACTACGGGCAAGTCTCAACTTCTCAGTATTCTAGAAAACTCACCAAGATTAAAAATTTCTAGGAAAAGTATGATCTGATTTAGTAGAGGGAACTCACCTAGAAGTTCCCTATGTCAATGAAGTCATTGGTCCAGTCCCTATCTTTTTGGTATTGTTAGTGATCCTTTCATGTACACATTGCTTTTCCCATTAATCAAACCATAGTCCCTTTAGGATAGGGACCATGTCTTAAATTTCTTTGTAGCACAGGGCCAAACACTGAGAAAAATATAGTAATATCATAGATGTAGAGCTGAAAGAGACCCTAGAGAACATGTAGTTCAACACCCTCATTCTACAAATGGAGAAACTGAGGCCAAGAGAAGTTGAATGACCTGTCCAAGGTCACATGGGAAGTAAGTGTTAGAACCAAGTTTGAATTCAGGCCCTCTGACTGTAAATACATTGTTGTTTCCCCCCACATTGCACCACAGGTAGTAGAAGATCAATGAATATTTGTTGATTAGAGACCAAAAACATTTGGAGTCAATATGATGCTCACAAACATCATCACTCTCAAAGAACATGATGGTAGCATTCTGAAGTTGTATTTCTCTACTGGTATCATTTTTTCTGTAGAGGTGATTCTGATGTTAAAGATTTAAGTAAAGCAGGAGGAAAGAATAAGGAGCAATGTTATAGGAAAGAAAACTGGCTGCCAAAGTAATTTTTTAGATTTGACCATGTTACTTCCCTACTCTATAAACTCCATTGGCTCTTTATCACCTGTAGGTTCAAATTACAGCCCCTCACAACTTGGCCTCAACCTTCTTCTGTAAGTTTAACATATCATATCATATTACTCATCTCCTGGTACTTGACAATCCAATCACACTGGCCTTCTTGCTGATTCTCCATCTTTTATGTTAGTATTTCTGCACTGGCTGTCACCTGAGCCCAGAATAGACTCCCTTCCCAGCTCTGTCCTTGAGAATTCTGTTTTCTTCAAAACTCTATTCAGCTGAAACCTTGTATAGGAAGCCTCTTCTGATCTGACAAGCTGCTGATGCTGTCTCCCTCAGACACTTACTATCTTTTTGACCTTAGGTTACTTCATTTTTCTGGGCCTCAGTTTTCTCATCTGAAAAATGAGGGGTTTGGACTATGTGACCTGTGAAACCTTCTAGCTCCAAATCTATCTTACTATGATCCATTCCCCCCAAACATCCCTTGTATTTATCTTTCACATATTTGGTATAAACTTATTTGTATATATGCTCTTTTCCCTTAAAGAATATAAGCTTTTCAAGGGGAGGTATTCTTTCATTTTTATCTGCCCAGCACCTAGCCCAGTGCCAGATACATAATAGTACATTAATAAATACTTGTTCACTGAGTGTTTAGAAAGATCACTAGTCTTGGAAGGAAGTGACTTGAGTTAGAATCCTGATTCCGGTATGCACCAACAGTGTAACTCTGGCAAACTGTTAAACATTCATGTGTTTTGGAGTCCTTATTTATAAAATGGGGCTAATAGTATGCATATCATAGTTCATAGGGTTATTTTGAGCTTACTTATACACTTACAATCTCTCTGCTTTTTAGAAATTACAAAATAGGCACTGCATAAATGGGAATTTTAATTATCCTATTGCTATGCTTGTGTCATGACTAATTGATGTGAAATAGACAAGACACTTTGAAATAGTGGAATTCAGCCATGAGACCGCATTTGACCATGTGGTCATCCACTCTGACTCAGGATGGATGACTAGATGGTTGAATGGCCATGGCCATGGTTAGCACTCAGTTAATCTCCTTTCCCCACCTCCTGTTATACTGCTATGATGATCTCTAAGATACCTATTTAGAAGTCATGGTGTTCTACGAAATGTAAATAATTCTTTAAAAAGAAAACAAAACAGCATACTAACATCTCCATGTTATCTTGATTATATTATGTTAATTTGAAAAATATATACTTGCAGTTTTGCACAGAATGTGAGATTTTTCCATCTTTTATTTTTATACTACCACCTTGAGCAACTCATGTACTTAAAAATCTTACTGTGTGAATTAGAATACAAAAGCAGCATTTCAGTTAAACAAAGAATGGCAGCCAAGAATTTTTTGGATGAAGTCTGCACAGTTAAATAATATGGCCTTGAGGCCATATTGTAGATTGAATGCTATTAGTGTCTTTATGAATGTGTAAAATTATATCATTCCACTAAAATTTAATTCCAATTTAACTTAAAAGTATTTACCTTTGATGTAGGATATCACATTTTGACCGACAAAATTATACAGTAAAATAAAGGGCAAGTTATCTGTAAGTATTCAGCTGTCAGTTTTTAATGCCCTTACATTTCTTTATATTTTTATCTAGCTTTTGTTTTTGTTACCTTATTTTACATAAATGAGCATTAATAGTCATGCTGGTTAAAGTTTTGCCAAATAAGCATAAAACCCTACATTTAAAAAAATGTAGAGCTTATGAATTTTTAAAAGTTCATACATAATATATCATAAAAGTAGGATGAATAATATGGTTCATAGGCTTTAATAAAAAGCTCCTTGACCATTTCTCAGAGACTTTGAGATGTAATCAATACCCCAAAAGGTATTTTGGGGACATAGCAAAGATTTATGCTTTTTTTTGCCCAGAGTGACACTTTCTGCTTACTATATCAACCAGGGACATGGTATTGAATTTCAAGGAACAGAAGAAAGGAAAGTATTTTTACCTGCCTTACAACCCTTCAAGGATAAGTTTAATAGTACACCTGTGACATCATTCATGATGGAAAAAAAATAGTGTTAGAAACAAGTGATTAGAAAGCAATAGGGAAACTCACGTGAATGTCAACATCTGTTCGTGATCGCATCAAACTTTGGTTTCTTTCTACCTCTGAAAGCAAATCCCCTGATGAAAGGTCCAAGATGCGTGAGTGAAGTTTCTAAGGAATGATAAAGAAAAACCAAAGGAGAAGCTTAGTTAGCAACAGTCTGTTTCACAATTTCATCTAGGACAGCAAAACTGTAGAAAAGAGAAAGCGATTGCTTGATTAACCTGCATATGTTAAAGAATTATATAATCTTAAATCAGAATGGCCCTTAGATCTCAAGAAGCCCGACCTTTACATGAAGTTGGAGTTTCCTAATTGGACAGCTTGCCACAGATGCAGAAAATACTTTTGATAATAAAATAACCAATTAAAAATTACTCTAATGAATCCCATTTGAGAGAGTCTAGCCACCCTCACACATGATATGCTAGAAAATTAATACTAAGAAAAATGTAAATATTTGGAGACATTTATTTAAGGATTCAAGGGGACTATAATGTAAGGCATTAAAATGAATATTTCATATAAACATTCCCCACCCCCAACCCATCATTTTAACCTTGCTGTGTTAAACAGTGGTTAGAACTTGAGGAAAATGATTATAAAAGTGACCCTATTTCTAAACAGCATTGATCTTGTGAAATCTTCCCTTGGACACTTTTTAACTCAAAGTCATTAATGTCATCTGTTAGGAACAATTAATGTGAATAGAAAATAATTGCATCAGGGAGCTGGGGACTCAGAGGATTTTGTGCATTAATATTCACATGCTGTTTGATTACATACTCAATTCTTTACTTCAGTTTTGCTTGGGAGGACTGCTAAACCAGTGCCACTTCCCCATATTAATTTGTATACTAATTACTAGGGCTTTCTGCACACATTAAATTTGATCTGTTTAATTGCAAATACAATAAACCTCATGATGTATGCCTAACTTCTTCTAAGCTGATGACTTAAAAAAAGAGAGAAATTATATTTACTGCCTGGTTTGTCTTGGACACTACTTCTGTGACTTTAGATACCATCAATCTATCAAATTAACACACACAAACTTTCTCTCTCCCTCCTTCCCTTGGTCCCTTTCTCCCTCTCTCATATACACATAATCTTTTACATGACTTTGCTTTTCTTCACTAAGATAGCTCAATTATGAATTGGCTTTGATCCAGACAATTTCATATATTTTGTAACATTAATTAATTTTAGGGTCATTTCAGAGATCAAAGGTTACATCAAAGATTATAATTTATTTGCTTTTTACTCAGCAGTTTCCTTCAGTTCCTACCACTGTCTGCGAAAAATTACAGCAAGCAGTGAGTGAATAATCAACATCCTTCTCCACTCCCATTTTGCTTCTGGTGTGCTGCTGACTAGAGTAGAATGTCCAACAATGATGACAATACCAGTGATTTTAAAGGTGTCCTCTAATGTAATAATCAATTCCAAAAAACCTTAAGCATCTGTAATGTATAAGGCACTCTACTAGTCACTAAGGATAAAAATGACAAAAAAGTGTGCCCTCAAGGAGCTTATATTTTAATAGTTCTATGTAATAAAGAAACATATAAGTACATGAGAATTTAGAAAGTATAGAAAAAGCACTAAAATCTAGGGAATCATGAAAGTTTTCTTATAGGACGTCAGACATGGGCTAATATCTGAAAAATTGACGTTATCCCTTCAATGTTAATAATTCCACCTCCCCTAGAATTCTCAACTATATCCTGACTCTTTTCTATTTTAATCATGTATACTAGGAATTCATCTTTTATTTCCTCTTTTGGTTTAGTAGACTAAAATATTCTATTACAATATTGGTTTGTTTTTTTTTCTCTTTTTATCCAATTCAACTTACTGTTAATAATAAATAATCAAATCCAATTCAATAGAAAGTATTTAAAAAAACCCTAGTATTATAAAACTTCATTTTAAAGAAATTAGACAAATGTAACTGAGCTTGAAGGGGAGAATGAATAATTGGCCTAGAAGTCAAGAATATCAGAGTTCAAGTGCTCTTCCTATGACACAAATTGGCTTTATGATTTGAGGAAAATCACTCAACTTATCAGTGTCCCTAGGCGACTCAGGACTACAAAAGACAAAGAAAATACCTAATCTTCATTGGTAAAGCAAGTTCCTCCCTGAGATCTCCTTGTATCCAAGATATCACAGGCCAAAGAAAATTCATGAATATTACCCACAAGTAACTATCTGAAGATCAACGCATTATATCTCAAAGATATAAGAATGATGTCAGGTGTGCAACATTTAATGAATTTTCCCATTATCACCTTAACAAAGAAATCTCTAATACTTCAGCAAAATGAATGTTGATTTCAATTTACTTGGACTATAAACACTTTTAGAATTGGAGAGTCTCCATTAACTGCAACCAGATCTGGGTTTGAATCTTGACTTTGTGATTTATTTGCTATATGATCTTGGGCAAGTTATTTCATTTGTTTAGGATGTTGTAAATTTTTTTTTTATTTTATAGACAAATATAAGATGACCTTATCATGGCATGAAGGTAACTCCAGTTATGTTCTCAAAGGCTCTAGGAACAAAAATATAAGCATTGACAAGTTCTGCCACACATTCAGCAATGGACTATGTGTCTCTCTCATCAGGCAAGCAGGCTATCTAAATTCAGAAGGTTCATCATCAGAAGGTTGGCTTAAGGGCTGTGAATTTTTCAGTCACCATAACTCAGGAAGATTATTTGGTAAGTATTACAAGGCTTCTGAGATACATTCACTGGGTCCAGTGAGGACTTGTTTCTGAAGAAATGGAAAGTATTAAGATAAGCAAAAGTTATTGAAATAGGAAAATGTCCATCAACTCCTGAATGGCCTGTGCTAAACTTTGTTATAATCACATTCATTAATTTTTGTTGTCTTCCCGTGGAGATGGAGAATCAATTAACAACCATTTATCAAATACTTACTGTATGATAGTCACTGTAATAAGCGCTAGGGTTACAGAGAAAAGCAAAAACTGTTCCAACCCTGTAAGAGCTCATTACTGATATGCAGTATCATTACACTAAATCTGACTAAATTGCTAAAATGTTATGTGTCACTCTTCACTGTTAGCTCTCCACAGTAAATAACCCCATCTTCTTTAGTATTTGCCCCTAACGTTCCATTTTTTTTCATTCTTTATATCAGTTTGTTTGTTCAAAGGATTTTAAAGTAAAAAGGGGTCTTAGAAATCAAGTTTTATGTAGATCCAATTTCATTTTTTAGTGTTTTACAAAAAGGAATACAAAAACTAGCCCAGTATCGGTAGAATTATTTCCTGGTCCCTGTATGAAATACTGGTTACTATATTTTAGATTTCTTTTTTATTTTTTTTCCATGAAATTTTACTTGAAAAAGCTTATATGCCCGACTCATAGGCTTTTGGAGATCAATTATACACTTTGCTTCCTTCTCAGCTTTCCTTGCTCCTAGCCAGTTGGCTAGTAAATCTCTGGTATCTATTCCATTCCCATCTTAGCAAAGATATCTATGGGTACATCCTGTGACTATGTCAACTGAGACATACACACATGTATAAATTACTTCAGTAACATTTAAAAAAGAGGAGACAATCCTCATCCCCAAGCAAGTAATTAATCAACAAGCACTTATTAAGCACCTATTATGTGCCAGGCACTGTGATAGGTAGTAGGGGTACACAGTCAATCAATTAAACAATCTCTGCCCTCAAGGATCATACATTTGATAGGAGGAGATAACATGTACAGTATACTTTGTTTTATTGTGCTTTGCATATATGTATATATATGTGTGTGTGTGTGTGCATACACACACACACACACACACACACACATATATAAAGTAAAAGTTTGTGGCAACCTTGCATGGAGCAAGTCTATTGGTGCCATTTTCCCAACAGCATGTGCTCACATCACATCTGTGTTACATTTTGGTAATTCTCACAATATTTCAATTTTTTTCATTATTATTATGTCTGTTACAGTGATCTGTGATCCGTGATCTTTGATGTTACTATGTACTTGTTTTGGGGAGCCACGAATTGTATCCATATAAGACAGCAAACTTAATTGATAAATGTTGTATGTGTCCTTACTGCTCCACCAACTGGCCATTCCCCCATCTCTCTCCCTCTCCTCAGGTTTCTCTATTCTCTGAGACACAACAATGTTGAAATTAGGCCAATTAATAACCCTACAATGGCCTCTAAGTGTTCGAGCGAAAGGAAGAGTCAATCGATGAGGCAAACTTCATTGTTGTCTTATTTGAAGAAATTGCTATAGTCCCCTCAACCTTCAGCAACCACCACCCTGATCAGTCAGCGGCTGTCAACATCGAGGCAACACCCTCCACCAGGAAAAAGATTACGACTTACTGAGGACTCAGATGATGGTTAGCAATTTTTTTTAAGTAAAAGTATTTTTTAATTAAGGAATACACGTTTTTAAAAGACATAATACTTTACACACTTAATAGATTACTGTATAGTTTAAACCTAGCTTTCATATGCACTGGAAAACCAAAAAAAAATGTGACTTGCTTTATTGCAGTATTCACTTAATTGTGGTGATTGGAAACCAAAACCACAGTATCTCTGAGGTTTACCTGTACACAAATATGCATATATGTATGTATTTATGTATGCATGTATGTATGTATTACAAAGCACTTTGGGGACAGAAAAGTACTAGTACCCTTAGGTATCAAAACAAACCTCATATAGAAGATGTTTTCTGAGCTGAGGTCTGAAGAAAACCAGGGATTCTAGGAGGCAGAGATGAGTGAGGGGAGTGAATTACAGGCATAAAGGTCTGGGCAAATGCACAGAGATGGTAGATAAAATAGGACATGTGATGAAAAGCAAGGTAGCCACTTTGGATGGATGAAGGTGTGTATGAAGGGGAGTGCTATATGCAAAGAAGAAGCTGGAATCTCCTAGGAAACATAGGACTAAAATATATGGCTTTTTTCTCATATCTTACCACTTTGGCCTTTTCATAACTGATTCTATCTTACAAATTTAGCAATCACTGATGTCCTTCCAATGTATGTCTCCAGCCCTGAATTCTCACCTAAGTTCTTTCTAGTCCTGTACATTGAAATGCC